CTGACACAACAGGAAGAATGTGTTCCCCTTACCCAGCGAATTTCTTCAGGTTTGAATGATGACCTCCACTTCAGTGTCTCTTCAAGCATCTTTTTTGCCTTACCTACGTTAAATCTCCTTGCTACCAAATATCTCTTTAAGCACGCATCAGTGCAGTACTGCAAGTTGCGCTCTGATAGTGGCCCAAGAGAAGTCTTTAGTTCACTAACCTGCAATATGAGTTCAAACCCGTGCAAGTTTATGGCACGGTATAATATTAGTTCAATGCTAGGAAAAAATATAAAATTTTCAAGCAAAGTTTGAACATAAACCATTTCATGATTAACAAGAAATGGTTACTGAAATCTTTATCACCTTCTTCGCCTGATCATCTTCCCCTTGCTCGTGATTAGAATTTTTGCGGCGGAACATGCTGATAGTGTGAAGTTATGTTCTCCACACTTCACCTGTAAAATCAGTGCATGAAACAAAAATTAAATCTTTACTTAGTATTGTTTGACTGAACATGAAATTTACACACTTGAAATGGAGATTGACACAAAGTATTCATGAGAAATTGAAAAGGAAGCGGCAAAGATGAATTTGAACTATCAACCATTGTTGCAAACACACTTGTGGAACCCTATGTTTCACAATTCTTTTTTTTTTTTTGGGAAAACTTGGCCTCAAAGTTTAGCCCATTAATAATCCCAGGTTTGGTCTGTGTAAATGATAATGGCCTCCATTTCCCATCAAAGATTGTAACTTCTCAGCACACTAGTGAAAATTCATGGGCAGTGAAATAGTAAGCATTACCACTGATAAAACTTGATATTATTGATGGGAATGTGAGAGTTAGGATTATTAGCTTATAAAAAAACCGACTTTGGGATCATTGAATTTCATTTTTATTATTGTTATTTTATTACCACACTAAGTCAAAACACAAAAAACAGAAACGAATCGGCCGTATAACAATCGACCCAAAATAGAACTTCAAAATTGATCCCCAGAAAGGGAAAATATATATATAGGACTTCAAAAAACTACTCCATTACAACAACAGTGTACAGATCCAAACCCGAAATTTCGAGGGACGAATAATCATACGGAGAAGGGTAAATTCGAAAACAAGAATTCGCCTCCCTTCCGACTACTGCCGCCGCCTCAGCGGCGGCGGTGGCGGCGGTGTTAGGAGCTTAAATGGAACTGAAGTTGTGAGAGATCATACCTGGGTCGACAAAGAAGAAGGAGAGAGGCGGGTAGGTAGCTGAACAGCTGTGAATTCGTGCGTGTTTGTGAGAGAATTTCAGACCATTTATTGAATTATGGTACCAACTTTCATGCGAAAATTCTCATTTCTCTCTCTCTCTCTAACTTTTTTCCTTTCCACTTGCCTTCATTTCGAGGAGAGAGACCAGACGAGTGCCTAACCGTAAATATTTATTTCTTCAACTTAGAGGGTTTTTCCCAAAACTTTGATCAATTTTAATTTAATTTATTTGATTGCAAATATATAATTAAAAATTAAATTTTATATATTTAAAGTGTGAACTTCAAGAAACTCTTATTAAGGTGTGATCATATCTATTTGGATTGAATATCCAAATAGCTAACACTGTAGAGATTCAAGAGTACCGCACACTTGACGATCTTACGAAGTGGACTCTTAAAGTTAAAAGTCAACTTAAGAAAACCAAGACTACCCAAGCAAGAACTTTCTCTTCGTACCTAACCTTACTACCCACACCCTCAACCCCTTCACCTAGCTCCCACCGCCCAACCCTCCAACACCAGGGTTGTACCCCCAAATCATCCCACAAATATCTAAAATCAACCCAGAAACAATCCTAATGCCTACCAAGTTCAAAGATGTTTTCGCTGCCAAAGCACCGATCACTTATCTAGAGATTGTACCAACAAGAAAGTGACGACTCTTGTTGAAAATGAGGGAGATGCTACTGATCCTTCATGGGTTAATGAAGGAGATGAGTACGTTGAAGCCGATGAAGGAAAATTTTTGGTCATTCGTAGGACTTTAAGTGTTATGACCTGCCCAAAAGAAGAAATAATACAATGAGAGAATATCTTTCATACTCGTTGTACAATCCAAGAAAAGGTGTGCTCTCTCGTCATTGATAGTGGGAGCTGTACGAATGTTGCTTCTATGACTATGGTGGATAAACTCCAGCTAAAAACTTCACCACACCCGACACCATATACAATTCAATGGCTGAATCATGGTAAAGGGTTACGTGTTGACCCTCGATACTTGGTGTCAATAAGTCTTGGACAAACCTACAATGATGAAATATGGTGTGATGTCATATCGATGGATGCTTGTCACGTGCTACTCGGACGACATTGGTTGTTCGATCTAGGGGAAGGCCAAAACACAATCCCTTACCTCACATGTCCATCCGAAGATGTCGTTCCTAGACGTCGTGTATCAATTGCACAACGCAATGATGCTATAAACAACCCTGATAGTGATAGCAATTCAGAAGATAGCAAATCTATTGGAGATGAGACAGGAAGAGGGTGGATTAAACAAACGCATAATGAAGCCGTGAGTGGTTGCAAGTGTTGTTCAATCCACCCTCACGGCTTGTAGCTGTCGAGGTATTGCCATCTTGATTATGGTTGTAAACGAAACGAATAATTTTGGATTGATTCCTGATTATATTTAAATATCATGATTCGTATACGTAAAAACGAATACGGATGAGAATATAAATATCTTTAGTATTCGGAAGTAAAACGACAAATATGTATGTAGATAAATATTTTATATTCAAAGAATTCAACTATACAAATGAATACGAAGTATGTAGATAAATTCTTATTCAAATTTCTTTTAATATATGAATGCATTCCAACCAACTTATTTTGAAACTATATTTTTTATATACTATTTCTAGACTATATATAACTACATTTTTTATATCCTATTTCTAGACTATATATAGTAACTAGTTTTTGTCTACATTTATATTTTTAAAATCGATGACTCATATAGTTTGTATTTTCAATGTCTAATCTTTCTTGATCTATAAATACATTATTAAAAATCTTAGTAGGCATGCTCGTTCCCTAATCTTATTTTATTTTTTTTGCACAACTACATTAATATTACTTTGGAATAGCATAAAATATGTCACTTAAAGAAACTAAAATCGATCTCAATATATCATTTAAATTAAACTATAGTAATTATTTAAATTTTTATTTCAGATTCAATAAATATTCAAATAACAATCAAATACGAATACAAATTTCATTTTTGCGTTCGTTTCGTATTCGCATCGTATTATAAAAAGTTAATCAAATATAAAATTGAATACTTTAATATTCGATTCATGTACAATCATAATCTGGATACATTTGTGAGCCAAACTTGACTCTCAATTCAAACAAACACTTAGGGTGTGGCTTGCATCCAAATATTTTTATTCATATGAAAGAAAAAATACACAATTAATTAAAAGATTTGGACAAAAAGATTAATGCCAAAAGTCAACAAATGATAATTACGTGTGGCGTTGCGAAATACTCCGTAAACTCATAAGTTCAAAGAAACTTCGAAAATTTTGTCCAAATCAAAGTTTGAAGACAAAATTTCATTGACCAGACAGAGTATCATATTTTCATTTAACATTCTAACAATTGTTTGACCACTGCGATCCGTGTCACGACTATTTCTATATTTTGATTGTTCAATACTCAAAGCCTTTTCCGCTGATTTAACTCAAAAGAGAAAAAAAAAAGAATCTCATTGTATAATCTTGTAAGATTAGTCGAAATCACTCTAAGTAGAACTAAAACATAGAAAAAAGTATCAAAATAGAAATTTCATGTTTTTATTTCCAAAATATGACTTTGCATAATGGTAATATATTACTATACTTTTTGGTAATGTACATGTTTGGTAATATAATGTATTTTAACTCCTGTTTCGTAAATAAAAACATGAAAGTCTTATTCTGATATATTTTCAATATTTTATTTCTACTTTAGTCTTTTTCCCTAAGATTACCCACATAATAGTCTAGAAAAAGAAAATTAATTTTTAATATTAGACTAATCAATAGAAAGTAAATTATGTCTTTAAGAACTCGTACTCTTCAACTTATTCTTATTATTTATTACTTCGTACTTATTCTTATTTGAATAAGATCAAAATAGATCAGATCAAAATGATTTTAAATATTGCAACAGATCAGATTATATTATACCATATCATACAATATTAAAATCAAATCATCTAACTTACACCCAGATAAAATTTGAAAGATAACTTTTTTTAAAAAAAAAATAGTCACTCTAATACCAAGTTACAGCTCTACCACAATTAAGAAATCCCGAACTCCGACTCAGACCTATACACTGTTTATTCCTACATGTTTGGTCATAACAAATTTGGATTTAGTTTTTTTAAAACGTCAATATTAGTGATAGATACCAAAACAAGTCAATATTAGTGATAGATACCATAACAAAATTGAATTATGTTCAAACAAGTAGCTTATATTTTTGTGCGAAAATATGGTCATATTAAAAGTTAAAAATATGGCGTCCCTTTAAAATTAGTGACTTTTGCTTTTGGTCTCTAAATTTTTTTTTAAATCAAGTCAATCTTTTAAAATGTATTCTTTTTCAAACGGTCCTCCCACTAAATTTTTTATTTAGAGTTAATGTTAAATACTCCATATGTTATTGGTTTATCTAAGAGTAACAATTTTGTTTTTGGTGTTTGAATCCGGACACTAGTTCAAAAGTGGTGGGAAAATTATATGCAAAAAAAAATGTTATAAGGTTGACTTAATTAAAATATATTTTAGAGAAACAAAAAGCAAGATTCACTAATTTTATAGGAACCAAAACTTATTTAATCCTCTTATTAACATACGAGAACTATTTAAAGTAAATCATTCTATCCATTCTCGATGCATGTTGGCATAGTAGTAAGAAAATCAACCGCAACCATGTTGGCAAAGTGTTTGAGTTTCATTCCTGTGCGCTTAAGACATTTTTTAATAACTTAAAACGTTTAGATTAATTTGAAAAGATACGAGAGCTACTAAAAAATTACTCCATCTGTTTTAAAGTATTCATCCAACATGAACTTTTGAATGTCAAACTAAACGAACTTTAATCATAGATTCTATAAATTTGTGTTGCATATTACTCCGTACTTCGTATTACAATGAAAACTTGTTTAAAAAACACTTTGTATGTTGTCAGGCAAAGTCTTATGTGATTGTTTTGGTCCAAACTTATTTTGAAGACTTTAGCACATACTCAGAACCACGAAAGTACAACTCATACAGAGTATTTTTTTAGTGTTAATAATTCTATCATAATTGTAGTATTTGTTCATACATAATTTCTCAAACACCCCTCCTCTACATTTGCACCCCACAAGTTAATTTTGACTTTAGAGCCAAATTTTGACTCCAAAATAGAAATTAACTTGTGAAATGCAATTAAAAGGGGTGAAGGTGTGTTTGAATCAGGGAGAAGTGGGGTTTGTTCAGGTCGGGGCAAAGTACGGGACACTTAATAAGAACCATCATACACCAACCCAGTGTTCTCAAAAGTACACTTTCCTGGAAATGAATTCAGATGCTATTAACACTTGAATAAGAACTTTCAGACCGCCCAAAGAATTGTTACACATTGTATAAACATTTTGAGACTTCTTTGTACAATCCTAAACATAGAGACAATTTTACCCAATGGTGTGGACTAGTCAAGATTGATCTTGACCTCTTATTTTACAACTATTGAGATAATCCCCAGACTTAAAAAAGACTAATATATAAAAAAATATCAATTGCTCCTTCTAGTGCCAATTGGTTTTAGTTTGAAATTTCACAATTTCACAACAATGACAAATGTTATGTCACCATGTTATTGCAGGCAATATTTTTGGAACAAATAATTTCTCAGGCAATACCACTGGGATATGTACACCCATCATAACCTGCAAAACCAAGAGATCACTCATTAGAAGGAAAGTCCAATAAGAAATGTATATATACTGAAAACTAAAACAAATAGTGGACTAAAAACTCTATGCATTTATGTGTGCTTACTGGGATTGGTTGATGTGAGTAAGGCCGTCTGCGAGAAATCGCAATTCCACGGGTTCCTGCCCGAGGTTTGGTAGAGGAGGTTCATGGCATAGGAAGCATGGGACAAGAGCGTGTTTGGAACGAAACATGACCCGCCGGGTTGGATCGGGCGGCAATCATATCCAAGCCCGCAAACGTAGTCTATATTTGCTTGCAATTGGGCATCCGTTGCTCCTTGCTTTGGTACACACCACACGTTGCCCTTTGGCGACGGGGTCGCAGGAGTTGTCGGTGTCGGCGTAGATGGAGTCTTTATACAAAATAAACAAATGAATAAATAGAATGTAAGAGTTGTTAGAGATGCACTTGACACCATTTTTTTTTTGAGGTGTGGTTGGGGTACCCCTAACGTTGTACCCCAACTTGCACACCAGTGTATCACAGACACACAGACAATCATTCCAAACTCCAATGCAATAATAAATCAAGCAACGGGTGGCTCACCAGGACACTAGACGTTGAAAGCCCGGCGTCATAGGTCATGGTTGAATCAAGCCTGAAGAGCCCGAAAGACCTCTCGGAAGTCGGCCCGGGCTTCAGGTTCTCGTCGTACAATGCAAACAGATAGGTGTCCACGGATTTCCCGGGCATCAATGGAGTCCCGACCAACGACCTCAAATGGGCGACCAAATTCCCGACATAAGCCTTGGCATTCTCAAGGCTAGGACCAACCTCTGTGCTGTCTCCCTTGTAAGGCCACCCGGTTTCGGCTACTCCTATCTCCACATCATTGAACCCCATTGCATTCAAGGCTGATCTCACCGCATCTACCTGCATAAAATCCATGTTATAAAGCTTCCAGTTGTTTGCAAGTCATAAAGAGTCAACTCAGCCTGCTCATTCTTTCATGTAAAGGATCAACACAAACGAAAACTCAAGTTTTTGAAGCAAGATTTAGAAAAGATTTTGGACCCGTTTGGCAACAACTTCATCGTTTTGAAAAGGCTATAGCTTTAGCGATTAGAGAGTTAATCTAGCTCATGAACAAATAAACCAAAATACTAAAGCTAGTTGAAACTGTCGTTCCCAAACAAGGTCTAGTACAAATGTTGAACGAATCAATTCAACCAAAACTCGAGTTTGATGACAAGATTTATTCTTTTTACTAACCTGTGGCATCATAAACAACCCAATGTTCATGAAAGATTTCAAACTTTTAGACATATTTCATCTACTCTTTTGTCAATGTGTTTTATGAGAGAATTTTCTAAATGAAGAAAGTGAATAATAGTTCTTTTTTTTTGCTCCAAAAAATTGTTTATAAAAAGTAGATTTTTCAAACTTGTTTTAGGCAAAAGTTTGGGTTTTAAAGCTAGATATAATGCTCCGTATAATAAGGTTATGTTACTGACCTGAGCGTCGAACATGTTGGTATATCGGAGTTTAGTGCCGGAATCAAATCGGCCGGAGTTTGGCTGGAATAAACAGAAAGCCAGTGTTTCCGGCGTGGGATCGCTCTGGTAAGCGAAGAAAGGGTATGGGTTTATCAAGAACTGCGACCCCGTGGCCTTATTGAAGCTCAGCAGACCTCTGAGCAAGTCGGTGACGGCGGGATCGAAGCTCCCGGCCGACGGCGGAGCAGAGGATCTCAGCAACGACATGCCATGGACAGTTGAAACCTTCACTTTTCCTCCGAGCGACGCCGAGACAAGGGCGTTCTGCAGATTCTTCATCGCCGGCAGGAGCTGCGACCGGAGATTCTGGTCGCCGGAGTACAGAACCTCGTTCCCGACGTTTATGGTCGTGATCTTGCTCGCCGGGTAGAACGGGAGCACGTTGGACGCCACCCAGTTCCTGGCGACGCCGGGGTCGGATGCCATCGCCGGGATTTCGCCGTTGGAGACTCCGATAAGGATCCCGAGGCCGGTGTTCGCCAGAGCGCCGATCATCGCCGGGTCCGCTCCGTACAACCTGACCTTCCCAATCGAAGTCGACCGCAGTAGCCTCGCGGTCGCATCCGGCGGCGGAAGATTATCCGCCACCTGGCCATAATTCACTCCGATGAACGACTGCGCCGCTGCAGTACAGTAAAACCCATCAATTGAAAACCGAAACTTCAAGAACTCATTAATGGTAAATAAAAATCGAAACTTTACAATAACATCAACAAGTTTTCAAAAAAGAAGATCAAAGAAACGCTTTACCTGCAAGATGGAAGTGGAGGAGAAAGAGGAAACAGGAGGCAAAAAGCTGATTAGCCATTTTAGGAAGGAAGAGAGAGAAAAAACGAGAGGCAGAGAGGAAGATGAAGCTTCTGGGACAAGAGAGAAAAACATTTCAATGGAGTGTGGGGTTCAGCTCTGACGGATCAGATCAGCTCTCTCTACCGTTACTACAGTCCGAACACAAAAATTTCCATCATGTGATGTAATTAGGGACTATTTTTATAAATTTAATACTCTCCTCAATTATTCATGTCAAGTCTATTAAAAATCATCTTCACATCCTCAATTCCTAACGATGCTGCCCATCAGAGCACTGGTAATACGTTTGAAGCCCCGGGGCTTCAAACTTTCTCTCTGCCACGTCAGCTTTAACTTACACCCAAAATTCACTGGAAATGGGTTTGAAACCCCGGGGCTTCAAAATTGGGCTTCAAACCTTCATTTTTTACATTTTTAAATATACATCTTCTAAAATTAAATTAATAAAATGTAATTAATTTATTATCTAATTAAATTGAAACACGAATAATAAAAAACACATTAATTAAATTAAAAAAAGCGACAATAATTTTAAAAAAAGATACATTAATAAAAAAACTAAGGTAAATTATATTTCTCCTTGATCTCTCTCATTCCTTGCTCGTAGATAATTCGTCCAAACTCCGACAACGTCCCGGGGTCGGTTTGCATGACTTTCATCTCGGCCTCCTGCTCCTTTAGCTTCAACTCCTTCTCTTTAAGCTTCAACCTCTCTTGTTCTTGGAGATTGAACGCCTGAAGTTGTTCAACCATTGCCCGGCCGATTTCGTCGCGGGGAGAAGCGGAAATAGAGGCGGACCCTCCCGAACCAGAGGCAATGGATTTTGCCTTCTTTCTTCCGATCGGCCGTGGAATGGGGTCCTCGTCATCGGAAGCCGCAACGTTGAAGGAAGGGATTTGATCGGTAGAACCGATGGTCTCGTCGACCTCAACCTCGGCGTCGACGGTCGATCTTTTCCGGAATGATACGACGTCGGGATTGTTGAGTTGTTGCCACTTCGGGGAACGACTCAAAATCCTCCAAAGATCGATGGGCACCTTGCCTTGGTTCCCGTCGTCTTGATACCGGGTCGTGGCAA